ATAATAAATAAATAATAAAAATATTGTGATGTTCGAGGAAAATATTTGCCTTTTTCAAAGACTGTGCAGCAACAATGGAGAGCAACCACATGATCCCGAGAAAAAAAATAAATCTGCTTCAATGAGTTTTATATAGGTAAAAGCCAGCTTGATGTAGTGGTTAAGGCATCAGGCTAGTAACCAGGTGACAATGAGTTCTAGTCCTGCCTTAGGCTTGTAACCAGCTGGGTGACTCTCAGTTCTAAGAAGACAATGGTAAACCACTTCCAAAATATTTGGCCAAGAATAGGGGCTTTGCAATGCATGAGAGTACAAATGAAGCATCACCCCTTGAATCGTTAAAACCACTGCATCTTTTGCCATATTTCACATGGCTGTTTTCAAAACTGCTCCCAGCAGTTTCCAAATATATGTGAATGCAACAACAACTTTATAAGTAGCTTTTAAGTTCCCAAGTGAATGTCAGGCACATACCTGCAGAGTGGCAGGACACAAACAATCTGTGGAACCCTGGCAAAAACATGGTTGCTTTACCAATTGGAAAATAATTGCTGTTAATATTCCAGCTTACTGCATTAAAAAAAATAGTTTAGCCTTACTACAGATTACTAAAATTGTCCTTGAAAATGACAGGCTAAATGAGCTTTAAACATATATAAATGAAAGAAACAACAGTATTAAGACCTGGCTGTCAACTGACACGGGGATCCAAGAGTGGCACACAATCTCAGGTGTGGTGGTAAACTGAGTATGCGCTCTCTTTAACTTTGTCTATTTTTGTTGGGATTTTAAGTTTTTATAGGTTTTTTTACTTGTAAACCATTGAAAGTCACTTAAATAGTGATGGGCAATTGATAAATTTGATAATATTCAGTTCTTACCTGCTAGTGCCCACTCCCCAGAGCTGTGAGAATGACCACTGTAGTATAATATATAAGTATCATGCCTAGGTCCATCTGATGTCCGAAGTTCAAGAAATGACTTTAGTTTAGAATGTAATGTGTCAAATGAAAGTCCACTGGTGGAATAATCACAGCCATAGGTCTCAATCATATGATATGCAAAAAACCTTTGGATAGCATTAAGCATGCCTGTAGACCTCAAATTTAGCTTTTGCACATGCTCAGGTGGAAGCAATGTTGGTTGTCCATCAGAACTGAAGGAAAATAGAAGATAAAGGAAAACATTGTAATGAATACAACTTATTATAAGTTGTCTAATGTTGTATTATGAAATGATTCACCACTCTAATTGCATACACTTTAAAACAAGAATATTCAGTTACAAATGGCTTAAATTAGCAGCCTAAATCATGGAAAAGTTCTATGTCTCATTGATAGCATATACAACGGACATAGTTTTTAAGATAGTCCTATTTCTCAATGATGTTAAATATGAATATCTATTTGCTTTCTGATACTGTGTTTGCCCGAAATAAGACCCGGTCTTATTTTCTTTTTGGCCCTCAAATAAGTATGAGGTCTATTTTTTGGGGGGAGGGGATGCCTTACCCGCTTACCTTAAGACCACCGCAGCCACAGCTCCCACACACCTGTTGCGCCACTGCCTGACCTTTGTAGCTGCTTGCGGCCGCGAGACTTGAAGCACCGATGCCAATGATCGTGACAGGACATCACGCAGCTCGTAGCACTGGTGCTGCCGCTCATGGCAGGACGCTTCATGGCTCATCGCACCTGTGCCACCGCTTGCGACAGGATACCGCATGGCTCAGTGTGCCAGTGCCACCACTCATGGCAGGACACCATGTGGCTCATTGTGTCGCTCATGGCAGGACATCCCAAGGCTTGTCACATCGGTGCTGCCGCTCATAGAGGAAACTGTGTGGTGCATTGTGCCATTGCACATGCAAGCGGTGGCACCAGCGTGACGAGCCTTGCAGCGTTCTGCCACAAGAGGTGGCACCAGCACAAGCCACACAGCGTCCTGCCACGAGAGGCACCACCAACGCGATGAGCCATACAAAATCCTGCCACGAGTGGTGGTAACAGCGTGTCAAGCCACGCAGTGTCCTGTCGCAATTGGAAGCACCGGCACAATGAATCATGTGGTGTCCTGCCGCCAACAGTGGCACCAGTGCTATGAGCCTGGCAGTGAGCGGCCACAGAAGTTAGACAGCGGCACGACAGGTGTCGGCTGCGGTGATGTGGCTGTGGTGGTCCTAGGGTAAGCAGGCGCGGGGCATGTGGGGCAGCTGCACACACCCTGCCCTAGCTTATGCCTTGCCCCACCTCGTACAACCAGATGGTGGGTGGGGCTTAACTAGGGGTTATTTTGGGGGTTGGGCTTATTTCAGGCACAGGGGTGAAAAAATGGGCTATGGCTCGTTTTCGGGGCAGGTCGTATTTTGGGGGAAACACAGTATTTATAAAGACTTTAGCTGAAAATGCAAACGTGAATGGTTTTGTTCAGACATTAATAGCAATTTCAAGAAAACCTAGCTGTAATCAGCAGATATACACTGACACCAATTATTCTATGACCTAGAAGAATGCTCCCCCTCATTTTTCTATCAGTTTTAGTTGACAGAGAATTCAAGGGGTTATTAGAATCTTTTCTGCATATCTAGTCTCATTCATTACTTCTCTCCAACCCGTTCACCTCCCAAACAGATGAGATGCTACATAAAGCACTGATAGACAGTTACAGATACAAACTTCCAAATCCAAAACTATTATAGAAAGTAGGTAAACAGCCAAATCAGTGTGAACAGAAGGTGCTCCTTTTCCAAGGAAAAGAAATAATAGTGATAGAACTTCATTTGGAATGCTGTTTCTTTTATAAAAAATATGACTTGAACTTGCTGTTAGAAATGATTCCATTCAGAACAAAAAGCAAATTAACATTACCACTGTTTTCTTTCTTAAAGTTTAAAGTGCTCACAATGTCAGTTTTATTAACAAATCAACACATTCCCATGGATTCCTTAAATTTATCTGATTAGAATATGTAAAGGAGAAAAATGCAAATCTGGTAGATAAATTAGCATAATTAGATGACTGCAATAATACTGTGTATTAAATAACATGTATTTGCATTAACACTTACCTACAAAAATTGGTAGGGATCACAACTGCATAGCCAACACATGTGCCTCCCAAACAACTTCCTAGTTCATGAAATAACCCATGAGCCATAGATTCAAGAGGCAATACAATCAAAAAAACACTCATGAAGATTCCATTGGATCTCTACAATAAATGAATTTCTTGTAAGAATTGAATGCATACAATTACAATTATTTCAGTTTGCAAACGTGAATGAAAATACATAACATTTAAAATCACAATATTTTAAACATGATTCAAATGCAATACTGTAATCTTAAGAATGCGAATTCTCAATTTGGTCCTAACCTCCTCACCTCCCAAAAGGTGCAATAGTATGCACTACAACTTTAACAAAAATATTGCTGAAAAAGCTTATTAAGTATGTGCACAGACTCAGTCAAATATTTACAGTAGGTTTATTTTTTGTATTTGATTTTCAAAATTATTAATATTTCTTATATGGATATGAATTTCCATGAAATAATAATTTATTTATTAATGATAATTTATTAAATTAAATTTAATAATTCAACAATAAATTAATAAATTATAAATTAATTTTTTATTATTTTTTAATTTATTATATAATTTATTATTTCATGAAAATACATATTTATAAAAGAAAAATGTAAATATTCGGCTGAGTCTGTGCATATACTTAATTAATGAACAATTCCACTGCAGTCAAAAGAAGTATACACTCTTTTTTTCCCTGTTACCCAGTTAACTGACACTTGTCCTGTTTCTTGACGGTTTAGGAGGTAGCTGCAATACATCTATATAACAATTCTCCCTAGCTGAAAACTATTGGTGCCAACCTCACCTGTCTTAGTGCTTAGTAATATAATGAAGTAAAGCTAAAAATAAGGAAATTAATAGAAACTGTTGTTAAATGGTTTTAATTATGATGATTTTGTGGCTAAAAGCAAATTGAGGGGGACCAGGGGTTGATGAAAAGAACACAGAGAAACCTAAGGAGCTACTTCCTAAATTAGAAAAAGAATTAACTATCAAGTTTGCTCTGAAAGCAACTTGGTTTACAGATCTTCTATCTTTCAAGGAGAAACTAAAATTAGTGTAACTTCAACCATGCCAGTTAGACAAACAGCTGATAGAACTAAAAGTTATTTCCTGTCTTGTTAGAAGGAAATAAGGTGGTAAGAGAAGAGAGGTGACATTCACAGGTGGTCTGTAAAAACAAAGGGAAAATAAATGAAAATAACTAGATTACTTTAAAAAAAGAAGAGAAACTTTGGTCATATCTTGTGACAAGCTAAAGGATCATTTTGCAATTAAGCATGGAGATTTTGTAGATCAAGGGTGTCAAATAGACTTCATTGAGGGCCACATCAGGGTTATGTTTGAACTCAGGGGGCTAGGGTGTGCATTGCCAGCTCGACATCATTCATATCTGGGGCGCCTGTGCTGCCCCAAGCACTCTGCCAGTGAAAACGGGTTCCCGAGATCTGTTTTCAGCTGCGATTGCCTCCTGCAACCCTCTGCCAACGAAAATGGAGCTCTGTTTTCAGGGCAGCCCCATGGGCTAGATCTAAGCACTCTTTGGGCCAGATCCGGCCCCCAGGCCTTCAGTTTCACAACCCTGATGTAGATTTAGCTCTTCAGAGAGGAATAACTTGCCCTCTACTACCACTTCCTCTCTTTCTTTCTCTCTCCCTCCTCCCCTCAATATTTCAGGGGCTGGCACAAAGAACAGGGGTCAAGCTATTTTCCACAGCACCAGAAGGCAAGACAAGAAGCAATGGATGGAAACTGAACAAAGAAAGAAACAACAGAGTACTAAGGAGAAATTTCCTGACAGAATGATCAACCAGTGGGACAGCACGCTTTCAGAAATTGTGGCTGCTCCAACACTGGAAGCTTTTAAGAAGGGATTGGACTTTGTCTAAAATGGTATAGGTTCTCCTGCTTAAGCAGGGAGTTGGAGCAGAAGACCTCTAAGGTCCCTTCCAACTCTATTTTACATTCTTCTAAAAGGATGTAAAGAACTTGTAAGACAAGTCATAATGTGAATATACCATGAAACTTCAATATATGAACTCCATGTTTAATCCTTTCAGGATGGCAGTTACTAATGATGCCACTTAAATGGAAAATGACACACATCTATTTACATCTTAAATAACTCATCTCAATCTTTATTGCAGTCATTAACCAGCACCAAATATAATAGTAATGTACATCTACAAATGTAGCTGATTAAAATAAATGGCAGAAAGTAAATATCCATCCCCCAAACATTCTTCCCATCAGCTGAAAAGTTTCCCCACTGACTTTTACGATGTGTCACCAAATCTGTTGCTTCCCATCAATTAAATGATAAAATGCAGCCCACACAATAAAAAGGGTTCTCCTTTTTTTTAGCCCAATGAAATGTTTACATTTCCCCCCACATAGTTCTTGGGGAGGGGGGAGACAGGAGAAATGAGTATTTAGTATTTAACAACTTGAATTACCTATAAAGTAATAAAGGTGGGATAAACATCAAATAAACAAAAATAAAATAAACAGAGCATGGTGATTTCAAGCATTTCAAGGCATAATATTCTATTTGCTTTTATTTTTTGTCAAAAGCCTTAGCCACAATTGTTTTCAAATCTCCCTTTTTTGCTGCACATACTTTAAAGACAGTTTGACAGAGGACTATAAAAACATTAAAACCTACCTGCCAACATACTGTACCCAAAACTGCTGTTGCAAGAAGGCTGAAAAAGACAAGTTGCTCTGAAATTAAACAAAAATGGCGCATTCCTTTAGATGCCATTACTCTGTCAAGGCTATTGTTGTCTGTTCTGTGTGTGTAATATATTTTGTGACAGTCATTAAGTTTTGTATGAAATCCCCAGAGAGTTATAAGAAAAATGATGTGACAGATTATCCAGAATATGCCAAAAATGGAAAAGCCTGGTATTACAAAGTACCAGAGATCCAAATCACCTAGTTTAAGTGCTGAAAGGATGAAGTAAATCAGTTCAATAAATCCAACAAAAATGACTGAGAATCTTCGGCAAACTCGACCACGATATAAATAAGGTTTCCAACGTTCTGTAACTGAAAGTCCACTAAAGTAAACATCAAGAAGGGGATCAGCTATTAAGCAACTAAAAAAACATCCCAAGGGAAATGGATTTGTTGGTATATGCAAGGATGGAAAAAATAACAAAGAGGCAAGGACTCCAAAAATTACTAAATTTGGAATTGACAAAAATGATTTCATCCTCAAATCAATAATCAGCATTGCTAAAGCCACAATCAATAGAATAATACTCATGGATTTCTCCACCAGCATAGTTGTACTGGCAATTGCAAATCCAACCAGCTCAAGTACTTCAACCGTTGTTAGTAAAATGGGCCGATGATGAACACAGCCACATATTCTCTGCACCAAAGCATACAATATTCTTATAATTATGGAGGAAAGAAGTAAATATTTTGTTGCCTCTTCCTTTATATCATTTTTAAAAGAATTATTATCCAGGAAACAAAGAAGGCCAAGTAAAAATCCAAACCAAAGATTAGAGAGACTTAAACTTGCTGCTTCCATTGAAAAATAGTAATAAAGTATACTTGCAATTCCAAGAACAAATAATCCAAGGATAAAAATTATGAGTATTAGTGCATCTGCAGTTTTTTCCCACCTGACATAAAGACCCATACATATTGCTGCCAACAAATTCATTCTGGCTATATAGCCGAGATAGCGGACAGAGGAATGCATGTTCACTTCTTGATTTGCTTCTTCCAGTCTTGTCATTGCTGCATACAGACAATGACTAACACAGTAACGCAATGATCTACACATGTAAGCAGACTTTTAGGGATTGTACCCACTTTACAGAATATAAATGTTTGAATTTCATCCAAGAAATATGATGCACAAGCCGTCTTGCAGTATTGTTTCATTTATAATTATCAGTCACTACTGAAGATCTGAAAAACAAACATAACTTCACTTTAATAATATAGTGTATCACATAAACAGATACTGTAAGTCTGCATTCTTACATATTATTTTTCAGCAAGAGAATAATGTAGTCAATACAGTATTAAAATCTTAATATAGTAATATATGAATCCAAAAAGGGAATTAATTTTACATGTTGACTCTGCAAATTACATATATTACATTAGTCAACTTTATTTTCTTACTGAAGAACAGAGGTAGTGTTGTTGAAATAGAAGCAGGAAAACCAGGTCCTAGTCCAGTGATGGAGAACCTTTTCAGCACTGAGTGCCCAAAACGGAATGTGCGTGCATGCATATGTGCATGTGAGTGCCAGAGCACCAGAAACCCAAAGACCAGCTGGCTGGCGCATGCATACCTGTTTTTTGGCCATTTTCCAGGCTGTTTTTGGTCCCAAAACAGCCTACAACAGCCCAGAAAATGACCCCAAAACACCCTGAAAAATGGCTCCAAAACTGCCCGAAAAATGGCCTGGTTTTTGGCCATTTTCCGGGCCATTTTCAGGCCGTTTTCCAACGCTCTGGTGTCCACAAACACCAGCTGGCCAGCGGGCCGGAAACCAGAAGAGCAGCTGACAACAGCACACGTGCCCACAGAGAGGGCTCTGTGTGCCACCTCTGGCATGCGTGCCATAGGTTCGCCATCACAATCCTAGTCCTTCCTAGGCATTTGGAGCTTCCATTCATTTCTATTTTTTGTCCCCCTTCACATTTTGATTTTGCCATTTCTCTCATTATTTTGATCTTGTTCTTCTTTTAAAAACTCTTCCATATATGAAATTTGTCATGCATTTCCGAAACCTAGTCTTATTTCCACTCAAGAAAATGTGTGGGATATTTATTTATATATTTTTATTATTTATATGACCACCCAATTTGCAAAAGTGTAAAGTCAAGCAACACTGTAAAATAAAAAACTCTGTACTTGTAACTCTGTATGTATGAGAAAAGATTACTATGTATACTGATGGCATATTAATTCATTTTACAAAATACAAGATGTAAATATGCATCATATAGACAGATTGTAGCTAACCAGCATAATTTTTACACCACTCAGGCCTTTTGATATTGTTACAGCCAAAAATGTAGGGTCACTTTTAAAATCATTTTTGCAGTATTTGGAAGAAATTTGTGGGGCAATGTTGGGTTTAAGTCCTGTACTGTACATTCATCTCATACCTTTAAATCCTTTAAAATCAACCGTGGAAACTATCTGTCCTGACTTCTGTAAGTTGTTATGCCAAAACAATGTTAATATATAATAATTATTTAATTTTCTGCCCTGGGGCTTGTTCTTTTTAGAACATGGCTATAAACAGTACAAGTTTGTTAGATGCACTTTTATTTATTGGGAGGAGGGGATATCACCCGATTTCATTTTAATTGGTATTGGCAACTACAGATTGGCAGGATAAGAAAGCTGTAACATGAACATAAGGGGTTTTTTTTCCTAAGAGGAAAGCAAACTCCTCTTGAGTAAATGTAATTTTATATTATCTGTCAATTGAATTTTCCACTATTTTTCAGTTTTTAAATTGTGTATAGCAATAGCACTTATATACTGCTTCACAGCTCTTTCTAAGCGGTTTAGAGTCAGAATGTTACATAAGGCTGAGTCAACCTTGAGCCACTTAGAATTTCTGGAGTGAGCAGTGAATTAGCCTGCAGTACTGCATTCTAGCCACTGGAATTGATAGATTTATTGGAGAACATCTAAATTCATTGTAAAATTATTAGCTACGGCCATGATCGTGAACCTATGGCCCTCGTGCCGGAAGTGGCACACTTCCTCTCCAGGCACGCAAGACGGCACTCATTGCAGTTCCAGGTTCTGCCATGCCGGCCAGCTGGTCTTCACGTATGCTGGAGAAGAGCAGTCGCCTGGTGCGCATGCCCACGCCGGGAAGATGATCTTCTGGTTTCTGACACGCATGCATGCACGAAAACTATCTGGTCCGTGTGCATACGTGCGCCAGAAACCGGAAGACCATCTTATTGGCGCGCATATCCACATCGGGGCAGCGGCTCTTCTGGTTTCTGGCATGCACATGCCCTCACCTTGGCACTTGGGTGCCGAAAACCAAGTGCCAACACTGGTTTTCACCAACCGATATAGGTTTCAAATGAAGATGATTTTTTTTAAAGTCTTTCCAGCATATAGAAACAGATTCAAACCATGGAAGAACAAAACATACAGTTTAACTGCCCAAAATGTGTGCAAAATTACAGAAAATCACCATCCTAAAAATATTAGAAATACACTGTTACATTTATGTTGAATTTATTTTAAGTTTAAACTAATCTGGGGAAAAAACTATATCATTTTGACTAGTTTGAAATTTAAAGAAACTGCCAGTACTGATCAAACTACTAAATTGGAATAGTACTTACAGGAGCTATGCAAAAATGTAGATAGCCACAGCCTTTAGTTTATTAGGAAAAGAGAAGTGATCTCAATAATATATTTTTTTGAGAAATTTTTTTATTGTTTTAGTTAAACAAAACAAACAAACAAAATCATCTTTTGTTACATCTTGTTGAAAGCGTATCGATTGGTTAAAAATATATTCCGTGTGTTTCTTCCATAATCCTTACATATACTTCATTCAAATCAGGTTGTACATTTTAAGTTATGTATTTTACTATCCCTGTGCCATAATTCTCATTTGGTTACCATTGTTTAAACATGTTTTTATCTAGAATCATTTATATTAGAAGACACAACCACCTACTGGCATTCATTTGCAGTTTCAATAGATCTCCAATAACATTACACTTTTATGACATATTCTAAAATTAATTCGGTTTTATTTTCAAAACTTGACAGTTCTGCTGTTGCTACCCCTTTGTCTCAATGAAGGTTTACCTAAATGAAGGTAAAACCTCTTTTCTTACTTAATAAATGATTCTAATTATTTCTGCACACAAACGATCCAGCATTTCAAGTTTAAAGCCTTGGCCGTTTTAAATATCAGTTCCACCCCATCTTTTAACACGCAGGTATTCAGGAGAACGAGCAA